ACATATCTTTAATCAGTACATGAGACTGCTATGCTGTTTTTGAAGCCTGATGTGACTAAGAAAAATAGAGAATTGTTTTTTAGAAGGATTTGTATGGAGTCATCAGAGCATATTAAACTGGGCTAATATCGCGGAGACAATTTGTCCTGAAATGCTAGTTTTTGGCAAGTAGGCCTCCTGGATGTTGCTCTTTTCAGAATATCCTGACAAATCCCATAATTTTACACCTTACTCTTACCATATTTGATTTCTTACTATTCCTCCGCATTTACAATTAATTAGTTCCACAACCACGACGCCGAAGTGTACGCTAGCTCCGTAGCGTCTTGTTTGTAAACAAATCATTCTTAAAATCAAACTCATTTACATATCGACAAAATTCAAACAGACCATTTGTAACATAGCCCAGTCTACTATTGCATGCAGTCCCCTTTTGACTCGTCACGCAGCCCTTCACCGCCAAAAAAACGGGCTACGTGTGAAATCACGTTGCATCACGAGCAGTTAAGGAATACGAATTTATTGGGAATTTTTTGCCAGTTATGATGTTTTTGTTTTTTTATTTATTTTCGCTTTTGAATGTTACGTCTCAATTTCCTTTCACTGGTTTGCAAGATATTCCTCACGATGCCCGGGCCGAAGGCCCTCGCGTAGCCGAGGTTTATTCGCATGGCGGGTGGAATGTACGTGGATATGCACAACGAGGCAGAAACACGAGTTGGCTATATTCTCTACAGTTGGTGTTCTCAATGAAATGAGTCATCAAGCGACAAACTTGATCCGTGTCTTGCGCCGTGCCGCTTTGGCGATAAATTTCGTTTTTTCAAAATAAGAGCGAAAATCGAGATCAAAGAACATTTGTGAGTGCATCTTACTTGGTGGACGAGTTTGACCCTAACGGGGATGTGTGTCGGAAGTGCATTTCATTTTGGCCTTTTTAGCGTCAAAATCTTGCTTCTTACCGTTAAATCTACCTTGGAATTCAAGTTACCGACAATTAACCTGGCCCTTTCCCCGCCGGCCCAGTAGATCAAAGACTCAGCTCCGTACTTCGGTCGTTCAACCCAAGTTGAGCTTGCCCTAGGGAAGAAGAGGGTAGGGGGTCTAAGAAGCGTAGGGGATCTTCACGACGTGATTACAGCGGCTAGCCGTCCCCCATCCAGTTCCTAATCCCCGCCCCGTTAGTGGCGCTATGAAACCCAGTTTCGAGAGGGTTTCGCAAGAAAATAACGGACATCCGATATTCAATTTAAATAATTTTATTATAGTTCTACTTATTGCCGGCCACCAGGGCCAAACGCGATCCAAATTTTAAATTCTACCTGAACGTAATTTATTACATGGCTGCTTCAACGAGCGGGCAAGATGAAGCAAATTGTTCTGGTTGGCTACCCAAGAGGGCAAGAAGGGTAGGTTCATTATACGTTTCTGGGAAACTGCCCACCTACCCCTCCCCTACGCCAACATTTTGCCCTAAGTGAGAAGTAAGTGTTAATGTTGACTTAGGGGAGGGGTAGGTGGGCAGTTCCCCAGAAGGGTCTGACTTTGCTTAATAACTTTGCTCAATGACAGTACCCTTTTTATTTTAAAATACTTTACTGACTCTCACAGCCTGTGAGGTTGAAAGGAGGGAGTTCTTCGTTGACTCAAATTCTTCAGTCACGAAAATTGGTTTTAGCTTTCCAAGCTGTGGATCATGATAAAATATAAACAGTGACTTAAAAATGAAGGCTACTGAACCCAACAAGATGAATATAAATCTGAGACAATGGATGACAATGGATCCTAAAGTTTGACAGACCATTCATCTGAAAGCTACTGGGCAGTACTTTCCTGTGGTGCTGTTGTTTATTATCCTAAAGGGAGTGGGTTGAATTTCTATTCTGATTATTATACTCAAAAGAGTGGCCAAAAAAAAACAATTCTAAAATTCAAAGATTTCTGGTCAAAACACTTTTAAGTAAGACTTAAATAATTCATCTGGCCGATGAACTGTCGCGCAAACGAGAGATTAGCCTCCCTCGCGCGTATGGCTCCTCGTCCCGCGCCATTTTTCTCATGCGCCTGCTCCGTAGGCTACCCAGCAAGTTTAGTTATTAACGTATAAAGTAACTGTCTAACACTCATCCTGATTGTGGATGCTAAAGAATGGAGTACACATTAGTAAAAAAAATAATAAAAAAAATAAAAAAAACACAATTGTTAAAGCACAATGTTAGGTGAGTATGAATTGAATGTACAATGAAGTACAATCTTATTTTAGCTAATAAAAGCCAGCAAGTCTTCCTAGGCGTAATTCCTCTATATTCTTCTTCTGAAAGGTTGCTGTCTGTCACCGTTACCATGGTGATGTCCATTCCCTTGATTAGCCACTTCCTTGACTTGTTCCTGGTGAATCTCTCCTGTCCAGCGCCTGCACTGCCAGCTTTGCAGCGGTAGCCTTGGCAATTTTGGAATTTTTGCCATAACCATCGAACTTGCCCCAGGAAACTCGTAAAGTACACTTGACCCTTCCATCGGCCAGAACTTCTGCTTTGCTAAAGATATGAACAGGAATCTTACAAATTATACAATGATGATGTGAATGTTACGCGCGCTGTAATTGGTCGTTACCCAAGATCTATTAAAACATAGCTACAATCGGCGACAAAATTGTTGAGACATTGACTCAAAAGAACATAAGAATCCACACCCCTCCCCTGTCCCCTCCATTCAAAGTTGGGGTGTTTGTTGTTTTCTAAAGGTAGCTCGAACAGTGGCACAACATTGGGGATGGGAGACGAAAAGTAGAGTTTGGGTCTTCAAAAATGCTTAAACTAGCACAAATCCTCGAACAGTGAAGCGGTACGAGGCAGGTAAGCTTATGTGTATCGCTCTTAAATGCGGTATCGGTCTTAAATGCCTGTACAGCTAAGAGCCTGATTTTATTATTATCTTTTAAAGAACTCGTGCAGAAGCGAGAAAAAGTGTAAACCCTATAAAGAGAACAGTGTGAATTGAGAGCGACAAGGTCCTTATTTCAGGACTACCTCGTGTGTCCTACACAGGAATATGAATATTTTCAATACCCCACGTACCTAAATTCCCGTTCGTTGTCCTCTTCGTACACACGCCTGATGGGATTGATCGGTATGTTTACAGAGTAGTGGTCTGACAAAGAACAAAACACGTATTTCTTTACTATAATAGTAATGGTTCATGTTGCAATCTGTTGAGTGAGTTTGACTATGGTAACATGCAAAAGCATCAATATGGACAAGTAAACAGTAACAGTTTTTATTTGTCACGAGACGTACACTTTAGAACCGAGTTTTCAAACCACTGACGTCTCGCCGCTCGTCCCCAGAGCGCGACGTTTCTAGGGGGATACCTGGCCATTAAAAAAATGACGAGACGTTTGTCAGAAAATCTGTGGGCGCGGCTAAAATTCGCAGTTTGAACCTTGAATGTTCTACGTACTTTTGCACGCACTAACAGTTTTCGTTAGCGTCAAGGACTATTCTTTTGTCGAACAAATAGTGCCCTTCATATTGTGGCTAGGTGCTGCAGCCATTCTAGTCGCGTCATTTTTAATTAGAATTTAGCACCCTGAGCGGAGCCAATCCACAAATTTTCCTCCCTGCCCAATTTTTGGGAGAAGTACTTCCCGGGGGAGGTTGCACGTTCGATCCTCAAATCCAGACATGATTACAAGGCCTTTAAAAAAACTGATGAAAAAGGTAGCGCCTTTGCTTTGCAGGGGGCTAGTCCTTTAGGGCTCGGGTGACAATGCACGAAGGAGTGGCGGCCCCGTCACCAGTAGGGGACATTATCTAACTTTGAAAAATGATGTCATACCGATGTAAGGTTGCATCATGCGGTAGTACACTTCCCAGACCTTGGTCAAATCCATACCGCTGTCCAAGAACACTGCACCAGCCACGGACTCATAAATATCACCCAGGACCTTGGGAGCTTCGATACCTTCTTCGTCTTTTGTGGATATGATGATAAATGGATCGGCAATCCCCTGTGAATTATAAAACAATTGCTCAGAACGTTTTCTCGTAGCCTTTGCTAAATAAACACTGAAGATCCATTACGAACCAGAGTAACATGAACAAGGGAATTTGGGGTAAAGATGCTTACATGCGTGGGAATCCCGTTGAAGCCCTGAATTTCTTGTCGGGCTTAATTTGCGATCAAAACTGCGTTGGTCATATCTTCATTTAGATGTTTCAGTCTCTTGCAACTATTACCAGCGTTTGTTTCCTTTAGCTATAGCTCCTTTTTATATACCTAGTGCCAACTACCAACGAATCAACCTTGTCTTGCAACAAATACAGGGAAACGTGTATTAAGCGCGCAGACCCCACATTAAGCGGACACCTTGGATTAAGCGGACGAATAGCTCAATACATTTCAATGTTTTTTTTCCCCACATTTAACGTAAACCGAACCTGTATTTAGCGGACACCAGCGAAGGTCCTGTGGGTGTTGGTGCTTAATACAGGTTTCTCTGTGAGACATGTCGTGCGTTTAACCGGCTCAAGGCAAACTTATTTTGCAGCAAGAGACGTCATTCCCGCGTTATTTCATCCAATCAGAAGTCGGTATTCACGCACATTGCAACAATCTGAATCTGATTTGTTGCAAGACAGGTTTTAACGTGGGTAGTAAAACCCCGCAACATCGGTTTTCGACTCCTTTTTCAGCAGCGTTGCACAACAAGTTGCAGGTTTTTGTTACTCGTTTAACCGTACCTTAAGTCAAACAAGTGTGCTTCCACAACAATAACATAAGGGCTACTAGTATTTGACAGAAACATCAGGGCCATTTATACGAGGAAAAATAAGACGCGTCTTAAATAAGACGCGAACTGTACCATTTATACGAGCATGTCTTATCTAAGACGAGAACAGCTCGTATAAATGGTTCGCGTCTTATTTCTGTTCTTGAC